CAGCTTCTCTTCTTTGTTGCGTGAGTCGTTTCTGCCGTGACTAGCAGATAACGCGTGCGTGCGGTCCGCTGCCTCATTCCATTTGCGCGTGAGATGTCTGAGACTAAACGAATGAACTCAATGCTGATTGAATTCAATTACAAGATCCCCGTCTCTCGGCCCGCCGTGCGATTGCCACCTAATCCGAATTCAAGCAGAAAAAAAGAGAAAGTGAAAACAGAGAGAGAGGAGGAGAAAGAGAGAGAGAGCGAGAGAGAGAGAAAGAGAAAAAAAAATTAAAGAGAGAAAGATGGAGAGCGAGAAAGAGAAAGTGAAAGAAGAGAGAGAGAGAGAGAAAGAAAGAGAGAGAGAGAGAGAGAGAGAGAGAGAGAGAAAGAAAGGGAGAGAGCGAGAGAGAGAAAGATAAAGAAAGATAGAGAAAGTAAAAGAGAGAGAGAGAGGGGGGGAAGCCGCCAGCAAGAGAAAATGACTTCGAATGTTATCGGCATTTCCTTCGTGAAAATCTTCGCAGTCCGTGGTCGAAAGTGGCAAAGACAATACAATGCCGGATCGACCAAATAAATGGTTAACTTCTACGATTTTCAACCTCGCCGTGGGCCATTCAACCAAACTGCATTCATTGAGAAATGCGATCAAGCGTTTCATTTTTTAAATGCCCCCATTCTTTGCGCAATGATTCGAGTTATTTCGTTGTCTCACATCCATGTTCTTATAATTCCACATTTCCTGTTTTCTTTCTCGACACGTTCCTCCCTTCTACCTTTTCCCGCCCGGGGAGCTTCCCTCTTCATCCCCGCAGTCTATAAGGTGGAAGAGACGTCGTCCCTTCCCCCCTCTCACTCGCTGGTTATTATATAACATGAAGCAATCAGAATCATCCCTCCCTTCCGTGTATGAGGAGTGAAGGTGTCTCTGTGAGTTAAGTATTACGTCGAATGCAGCACAACATTTTCGTGTAAGGTTAATTTTTTTTAAATCTTAATTCGATACACAAGAGCAGGTTGCGTGATGTGGATAGCGATGGTGACGTCAGTGCACTACTCTGGGGGCCGTTGTAAGAAACATCGTGAAGTTAATGAGCGATACGATATAAATAATAAAAACAATTAAAACAAACAAATACATAATCATTCGAGACAAATTCATCTCTGAGACACTGCATTGATACCAGGATGTCTTTCTCGGGCATGATAACGGTCGGGTTGATCGACTGTATGGATGGGTTGTTCCAGCGCAGGTAGGTTCCGTTGAAGATTCCGACGAGAACCTCGCGCGAAAGGTTCAGATTCGTGTTCCACTCCCGTCCGAGGTTGAACACCACGGCCACGCCCCTGTGAATGTTCACGTGAACAACATGTGAACAACGTGTGAGGATGGAGAAGGAAAAGGCTAGCGTGGGCCATCGGAGCGGTTACTGCGGAAATGACGAGAATAACTGATGGTTTTTTGGCTGTTAATATCAAAATTAGGCTAAACTAGGCTAACTAGAGGAGTCTGTCTAAGCATCATAACACAGATTAAGTATGTTGGTATTATAATCACAAGACTAACTAGAGTAGTTAGTGCAATACAAACTTTGGAGGTTATCGTTAACATTTCAACACTAACTGGATTAGTTAGTGAACGAAACTCGATAACTAAATAAAACAACACGACACGAAACTAGATAAATGAATGAGGTGTGTAACATCACCACGTGCAAGACTATACATAGTGCGTATTGTCTTGGAATCCTAACAGAAAGAGGGTTATAAAAATAAAAATATAAAAATGTATGAAAATGTAATTCATATACCTTGTATAGATATGTCGTTAGAAGTTCTTATCCTAACAAACAGACAAACATACATACAAACATACATACATACATACATACATACATACATACATACATACATACATACATACATACATACATACATACATACATACATACATACATACATACATACATACATACATACATACATACATACATACATACATACATACATACATACAT